GACCCCGCCCCTGCTCCTGCTGGCCACACTCTCCCTGATGCCAGCCAGGATGCTGTTGGCCTTCTTGGCAACCTGGGCACACGCCGGCTCATGTTCAGCTGCTGTCAACCAACACCTTGTGTTGAGACTGCAGCAGATGCCAGAAATGCAGACTCTCTTTTTCACCAGTCATGGGACACTGTGTTGTTCTCCAGCCACAGAGACCAGAGGGAACTCCCGAGACCTTGTTCAGCCCCCCTTGACCTCTCCTGCACCCATCGTACCGGGAAGGCGTAAATGAAGATTCCCAGGAAGAGCAGCAAAATGAAGAGCACGATGGCCAGGATAACCACCCACTTGTACCGCCGCCACAAGATGTACTTCAGGGTCTTGTACGGGGAGGTGAACCACAGGAAGGAGGTCTCTGGGCGCCTGGAGCCAAAGAACATGGAGGACACCCTGAGTTTCATAGCATTTTCGGCCTCCTGGATCCCCAAACCCATGAGCACGCCTTTGCTGTGACAAGCTGGCTGCACACCCTGAAAACCCACACCCCTCTGGGTAGACCATGTCAAATGCCATCCTTGGTGGTCCCAACCAGCCTCCCAGCCACCCTGGATTGTCTCAGCTCGTACATTCTGTGTTTCAGCATTTCAGAAATGGAGTCTACACAGGAGCAAACCTGTTGCAGACAGCAAACTTCAACCTGGGAACACAGATTTTCAATTTGCTCCTTGAGAACCCTGTGCCCCAGTGGTTATTTTTCCATTTGAGATGCTCTTACTTGGGGTCCTCCAGCTTGGGGTTCATATTTGGTTCATCCCGACCCATGCCAGCTGGCCGCTCTTCATGCTCTTGTTCTGCCACAATTTCCAAAGTCATTTCCAATTTGCCCTGTGTGGGTGAAACAAAAACAAACGTCTAAACAATAAAACTTATTTAAAAAAAAAAAAAAGAGAGAGGTGAGAAACAGATGGATGATGTAAAATACTGATCAAGGAAAGAAAAGGTACCTTGAACATAACCCAACCACTACCAACAAGGACCACGAGGAACCCAGTAGGAGTGGACTTCACACAAATCCCTCACGTGCCCACCACAGTGTTCTCAGCAGATACTCCAGAACATCTCAGTTGTCACTGACACCCAAGGTCAGGCAATCAGCACAGGGGCCTTTTGTTGAATAATTTCATTTGCTGCCTGGACTCCTTTACCTTTATTGAACAGTTGCCAAATACTGGAATAGGAGTGCAGACACATTCAAATCTATCAGCCTGACAGCTGAAACCTTTCCCTGGAACTTCTCACAACACCATATCATTAAGAATAGATGTGATACGGAGTCAGATGGTATGTTCTCAAAAGTAGAGCAAAATCCCTTTCTTCTGAGGCATTTGCATGGTGCTGGAGAAATCCTATAAAATGTCCTACTGACAAAAGCTGGTCCGATTTGTAAAATTTGCAGCCCCAGGCTGTGTTTCTTGCCCTGACCATGGCATCCTGCATGTGCTTGGCCCAGCCATGTCCCTCCTCAGTGCTTTGAAGGAGTCCCCCAAGAGAACATGTGAAGAGGACATCTTACCGCCAGGATCTTCTTTTGATCCTGCTCAGCAACACAGGGCCACCATCCCTTGACGGTTTTCTGCTCAAAGAGTGACACGAAGCGACTTGAAGACAAGGTGTCATCTACTAGCTCTAAGGAGCACTTCTCAGCAGTCTTGGCGGGTTTGGGCATCTTGTTGAGATCCATCTGAATGGAGCCTGCAGGGAGGAACGTTACTGGTAAGGCATCTCAGTGTAACAGATCTTTAAAATGTGGACTGTTTCCCGGAAGATGTATTTGCTGTGGTAACCTCCTGACCTCAGGGAGCTTGGGCAGACACTCACACAGCAAGTGGGAGAGCAGGCTCAAGTGTGGCTCTGATTTCCAAGCTCAGTGCTAGTTTTAGCCAGTGGCTCTTCCTAGGAATTGAGCCCTTGGCATCACCATTGTTCTTAGGAAGCCATGAAGTCCTTCTAGAAGATGCTGCAAAATACCTGCTGACTTACACATCTATAATGTTGGATTTTCACTTAAGTCAACCAGGTAGGCTAAGATTTTTGAAGAAGACTAACAGATTTGGGTGAAACTCAAATTGTACACACTGACAGAGCGCAGTCAATATAGGAGCATTTGGCAGGAGGCTTGCAGATCTCCAGACAGGCTATTTTATTGTCCCAGACAGGTAAGTAATTACAGCAGACTAAATATGAAGGTTACCCACAAAGTCAATAGCTTCCTTCTCAGAGTGACCTAGTAATTAGCACATTTATCTACCCCTTAGGAATCACAGAATGGTTTGGGTGGGAAGGGACCTTAAAGACCATCTAGTTCCAACCCCCCTGCCATGGGCAGGGACACCTTCCACTAGACCAGGTTGCTCCAAGCCTCATCCAGCCTGGCTTTGGACCCTTCCAGGGATGGGGCATCCACAGCTTCTCTGGGCAACCTGTCCCAGTGCCTCCCCACCCTCTGCGGGAAGAACTTCTTCCTGATGTCCAATCTAACCCTCCCCACTTTCAATTTAAACCCATTCCCCCTTGTCCTGTCACTACAGGCCCTTGGAAAAAGTCCCCCCCAGCTTCCTTGGAGCCCCTTCAGGCACTGGAAGGTGCTCTAAGGTCTCCCCGGAGCCTTCTCTTCTCCAGGCTGAACAAGCCCAACTCTCTCAGCCTGTCCCCAGGGCAGAGGGGCTCCAGCCCTCTGAAATCTGACCTCAATCCTCCAAGTGTTAATTGAAAGTGCCTGCATTTAATTTACATGGCTAGACCAAACTGCCTTATGGATGGGACCATCCATGAACATCCACAGGGGTGGCCCTGTGGCTCAGCTGAGGAACAGCAGCTTTTTACACTGCTGCTGATGACTCACGTTGTTTCGTGCTTGTATTTGTAGTTTTGCTGTGGCACAGACATTTGCAGCCATTGACAGTAACAGCGCAGATGAGATGTGTTGTGAAACACTTTTGAGGAAAAACATTGAGGAACGTTTTCCAAAAGCCAAAGACCACTTTTGCTTGTTGGAATTTGCAAAGAATTAATGTTGGCAGTCAAGAGCTCGCGATGTGCAGAGCCAGAACTGGAAAGCACACCTTGGAAAGGTTATTTCAGCACTCAGCCTATGTAATTAATCAAAGACAGGACTTAAAAGGACCTCGATCACATACATTGTGAAGCTTTTGATGTTTGAAATTTTTTTGTGGCAAAAAGAAAGGTAGAAACCAAAAAAACCATAATGCTGGAGCCCCCAGCTTCTGCCCAGATAACCATGGCTCTGCTATCCTTCCTATTAGAGTTTTCTGGTTTATGGCCTAAACCTAGATTTCTGAGGATGATTAATGAGGCTAGAGCTGAAAAAAGCAAGTGTTGGATCAAGCTGTGTTCATGTCTAAACATCCCAGGTAAGGCAAGGCAGGTCAGTGATCCTGCCTGGTGATCTCAGCTCAAAGACATGGTTACCAATGAGCACATTTCAGCCCAGACTCAGCTGAGTCACGGAGAACTGGGTCCTTCCTGGAAGGTGGTGGCTCTGTTGGGTTTGATGATCTTCTCCACATTATGTCAGCCCAGGAAAAGGCTGCTGCAGGCTGAAACTGGAAATCTGCCTAATACAAACCACTTATCATCAGTCTTGAACTTATGCTGACACTGAATCCTGTTCAGTGGCTTAAACTGGTCTTGTTACACTTTCTTCATATCCTGAAAGGTTCCATAACTTTTTTCTTCCTGTCTGCATCAACAGGAACAGAGCCAAAAAATTCTTCTGACTTACCCAAATAGTCATCAAAAGAGAACTTGTCATTGTCCCAGATCTGGAAGATAAGCTGTGGTGGAATCTTGTTTTCTGTCTTATCCAAGCTCCAAAAGTGCTCCTAAAATCACCCCAGGGGAAAAAGAAAAAAAAAAAAAGGCTGGTTAGTAGAAGTAGGCAGAGCCCGGTACTCTCATCTCACAGCAGCTGAAGTCCTTGGTGTGTCCTGCTCCAGTTCTGCAGGGGCAGAGACACAGGACACTGCTGGATGAGCCAGTTCTTGGACAGGATGCTCGGTGGAAAACCCAAGGTGCTTCTGGAAGTTGGGTTGGTACCAATTTGTGCCTTAATTGAGTGACAATGTTTTAGCAACAGGCACCATGAGCTTACAGATGGGATCTTTTGGAGTCACAGCATCATGTTTGTATGATTTAGGCTGAAGGTGACTCTCCAAGGTGAAGAGAGCAATGAGTGCTGAGTGCCAGTGCTACCAAACTTCACCTTCCACTTAATTAATGGAAAATCGTAGGATTAACTCTTAAATTAGCACTTATGGCAGGCAATTCAAATACATCCCCTTCCCTTCTGCCCATCTCTTACCCCAGCTCTGCCATCAGCCAGAGCCCTGCACAAGTCCGGATCCACCACTGTCCCAGTCTGCAGTCTGGCCTGTTGTAAGTAGTTTGTGTGTGGTTGGCCAACGTGCGACCTGCAAACACCTCTACTACCTGTAGTTAGCCTGCGACTCCCCAGTTCGCTTACTACACATGAAAATGTAAAGAAAGAGACTGGTCCTTTCCCAGCAGCTCACTGTGTGGTGAGTTCCTTAGTTCTCAAGTGACTTTGCTCATCATTTCTGCACATCTCCCAGTCTTCACTCTCAGGACCAGTGAATGCTAGAGTTGGACGTGCTATCCCAGTGAATCTGCTGCTAATATTACATCAGCTGCATATGTTCTTGCCACACTTATTGCTACATTTAAGTTCAAGAAAGTAGAGATTCAGAGGACCAGGACGACCAGACCCTGGCTTCCTGTACAACCCATCAAGCAGTGACACCGTGGCACCTGATTTCAGTCCTTATGAGATCTTTCACTGTCCTTATGCCCTTCTCATTTCTATTAGATAGGCAACATTCTGTCTGTTCCCTGCCACTAGACCTGCTGTGACAGCCCATGGAAAGCTATTGCAGCAGTCCCAGAAGCCTGTTTGCAAAGCACTTGAAATGAAAATTACACTGTGTGCGTCCCCTGTCATTATCATCGTTTACTGAGCCCTTGTGCAGTGCAGGAGCTATCACCCATCAGTGCTGCATCCCAGCCACAGTAATAAGGAATAGATACTGCCTGGGAGACAGCATCCGTGTGGGAGCTCAGGTCTAGGATGAGGCAGGGATTTCTGCTTTCTGGAGAAGTGATCTACAAAACACTCATCCAGAAGAAGTTTGCACATGCAGTGACCTGGTTACTACAGCGAGTAGGTCAGCAGCAAGGTAGATGGTCTGCCTTCTGGAAGGCCAAACCAACACTCCCCAAAAAGCCAGTGCATGGGGGCACATTTAAATTAGACTTCTCTAACAAGGAGGGTTTGAATTTAAATTAGACTTCTCTAACAAGGCGGGTTTGAATCCCATTACGGTGACAATGAGCTTGCGGTCACATCATTATAACATAGGGTGGATACACGCCCATGCCACAAAATTTGCTATTTATGTGGTTGCAACCAGTAATATTTCCCAGCAGGGCTCTAATACCACTTTTGGGATGCCACAAGATGCCTGAAAGTTAGGACTAAGAAAGTTAGGACAGGAGAGAGGCAGAGACGCACAAAAAGCCAAGGTCTTGTTATTTCTGGCTCCAACCAACTCCTGCGAAGAGGAGGCAGAGTCACGACTGGTGTCTACTGACAGCACAGGCTCAGAGGTGTGTCGTGTGGGCAATGCCTCCTGCCGCACTCTTGCAACATGGCAGCATCATAAACGGAACAGATTTAATTAAAACCAGGAAACTTCAGCATTATTCATGACACATACGTAGCACCATAAATTCACTGCGGTGGCTACAAGACTCTGATTCATTATAACGTGCAATATTAAAAAAAGAAAAGGGGGAGGAAAAAAAGAATGTGTCACACTCCGTAAGAATATAAATATTCAAGCAGGGAGACTGTGGCCACTTAAATCCCATTGAAACTGGTTTCATTTTAAGAGATCACCCTGGCCGGTTATATTTCAATTTAGCTCTGTTCCCTGCCTTCCTCTGGAAAAACACGCCAGCATTTTTGCAACGGAGCATTTTATTTATGCATTTTAAATATTTTATAATCTAGAAAAATAAAAGAAAGTCAATGGAAACTTCCAACTCTCCCCCTCTGCTCATTGCAATGTATTAAAATGTATGTTTATCCAAGGGCAGGGGGAGGGCATGTTTTCCCACCTAATACTGTTCCCTGCCTTCCTCTGGAAAAACACGCCAGCATTTTTGCAACGGAGCATTTTATTTATGCATTTTAAATATTTTATAATCTAGAAAAATAAAAGAAAGTCAATGGAAACTTCCAACTCTCCCCCTCTGCTCATTGCAATGTATTAAAATGTATGTTTATCCAAGGGCAGGGGGAGGGCATGTTTTCCCACCTAATAAGTCATTTTAAAACTACTAATTTAAAGAGCTTACGGTGATTCTTCCCTTTCCCATATATTGGGAGGGTCCTGCACTGAAGAAGGGTGGTTAGTCATGCTGAGGAAAAGCCCACAGGAACCATGTACCCATGTCTAAAGAACTGGTGGCCGGATGACCTCACCAGGGGTTGGAAACATTCAAGTCGGGTCTGTGAGATGGAGGCAGACCACTTCCCATGGTGTGCATCATGGTGAGACACCATGGGCTCCTTCTGATGGCCCCTTGCTGGGGAAATTTGGGCAGCCCCATTCATGCTCAGCAACATCCTACAGGTGCCTCTTCCTCATCCGTGACAACTAATGCCCCAGCTCAGAGTCTGATTTCACCACATCTGCATCCATCAGATGTGTCCATGCTCCAAGAGCATTGATATGCTGCTGCCTGGGCTGAAGCACCTCTCCAAGTACATGATGGACCTTCTCTTTGCACCATCCCATCCACCTGGAATCGAATGTGAGCAAAAGCCAGCACTTGAGCAGTCCCTCTGGAAGGCAGGTGCGCGGATGGCACCTCTGCTCTCTGGCAAAGGTACTGTCTGCTGGAAGACCCATTCATATCATAGAACCATGGAATCATGGAGACTTTTAAGTTGGAAAAGACCATTAAGACCCTCAAGTACAACTACTAAACCAACACTGCTAGATGTGGAGGCTAGATTTAGATTGGACATCAGGAAGAAATTCTTCCTGGAGAGGGTGGGGAGGCGCTGGGACAGGTTGCCCAGAGCCTGGAAGTGTTCAAGGCCAGGCTGGATGAGGCTTGGAGCAACCTGGTCTAGTGGAAGGTGTCCCTGCCCATAGTGGGGGGGTTGGAACTAGATGGTCTTTCAGATCCCATCCAACCTAAATGATTCTATGATTCTATGAAACCCACCATGTCCCTAAGCACCTCATCTACACGTCTTTTAAATCCCTCCAGGGACGATGACTCCACCACCTCCCTGGGCAGTCTGTTCCAATGCTTGACATGGGTGCCCTGACTGGGAAACAGCAGGATCCAGGAAAAGGAGCAGGCTTTTGTGAGACTCAAATTACTACCCTGGTCTCTGAGCTGCTGCAGCAGTCTCCCTCCTCTTGGTGAACTCCCTCCCCATCTGTGGTGCTGGCTGAGCTCTCCTGGGACAGCAGGGGAGCACCCTGAACCCAGGTCAGAGACAGCGGGTGCTGCAATGCCTCGTGGTCATCTCCCACACTAAAACACGAGTGTCCTCTGGGACTGACCATGCAATTGCTGGCAAATATACCGGACTTTGGATTCCCACCTTCCCTCCTTCCCATTGCAACACCCATGGACTTGCCCATGCTCCAAGCAAACAAAACCCATACCCTGCCAAGTGGATTCTTGCTGCATCCCCCTGCCTCCCCAGCACCACTTCTACCCCTGAGAGCAATGCCCTGGCTCGCCGGGGACTCCCTGCTTGATGAAGGATGACTCAGCCAGGATTCGACCCTTTTCCGGATGGCAACGCGGAGCTCATACAACCCTAGCACAATTTGTACAAATTTGGCCTTTCTTGTGGAAAAACACTGTAAACGCGGTTTGGCTGGTGGTGAAGCTTTCCTCCTCAGAGCCCCACGAAGCTGGGGACACGGCAAAGCCGAGCTGTAAGGGCAGGCTGGGGAAGGAGGAATCTGATGCTGAGCAAAGTTTATGGGTCCGTTCCGAGGCAGTGTGAAATTTGCCTCCATGATTAAATCTAGCTACGAAACTTCACTATAAAAACAACCCAAGGCAAGAAATTTATTTCCTAGCCTTTTGCTGGGAAGGGAGGGAGCTTGAATTATTGTTGGGGGTTTGTTTTGCGTTGTTGGGGGGAGAGGGGAGGCTGGTGAATATTTTACGGTCGTGAATAATACAGCAGGGGAGGCAGGAAAAGAAAAATAAGCTCATATCACTAGGAAAGTGTTGACAGGGCTGCATTTCTTCTGGGTTGCTTATGCGCTGTGGAATACAAAGTAAGGAGAAACCCCACTTTTTTCACCCCGACGTGTTCACACCCAAGCAAGCCTGTCCCGTTTCAGCATGTACATGTGGGAGATCATCAGGTCCCTCATCCTGCAGCAACTGGGGGTCACACAGGAGACCCCCTCAGAGTTTAGCCAAGAAGAACCTCTCCTCCTGCAGGTCCATCCTTCAAGGTGTTGAGAAACTGCTTCTCTGAACCTCATCCCTTTGGGACATTCTGTCTCTTTGTAATAAGCTCAGCTGAGAGCGCTCGTTATTGCACATCTACTGTACTAACTCGCCTCTTCCATCTCCCTGATGCTGCTAACCCCCACATTGCCTCGCAGGTCTCATGGCGCTTGGTTTTCTGCATCTCCCCCTGATCAGGGTGGCAGCAGAGCAAAATCCCAAGCCTGCAGCATCTGCTGCACATTCAGGCACAGCCTTGCCAATACCTGGGGGAAGGCTCCAGACGTCACCACACCATAAATGTGAA